AAATCACACTCCTTCCTACACTTCATTGTGTAGTCTTGTGGGTGATTGGTGCTTTGAATAAGTTTGTCGTTTTGTTGTGACATCTGTGCAAAGGGAGTAGCTGGAAGCAGCTGCAGGAGCAACATGCAATACTTGCCAAACTGCATTCACATGAATTTTTAAATTCAGGAATAACTAGTGCCGGTGAGCATTTTCAATCCATAGGACTGTATCTGCCAAGCTTACATCTGCACTAGTTAGTTCTTTTCCTTGCTGATAACATGCAGCCCAGGAGTTGTTTGTTCTTCTTGTCCTTTGATTTGCACCTGTTTAGTGCTACAAGCTGGAAACATCTGATACCCCACGGAAAAACAAACAATGGAATAGACAAAAGGGACATTCTTGACACAACTTCTTTGTCCCAGCTAGTTGAACTAGTTAGTTGTTATTATGCAAGGGACTGGCCCTTTTGACTTACTGGGAGCATTCCCAGTGGGCCACTGCCCTAGGGAACCACTGGCAGCCCACAGCAGGCTAAGCCAAGTGGCCCTGTGGTACTAGTGAAGGCACAGGGTCTCCTCTGATTGGACACAGGCCATGACAGTGATGGCAGCAATCATAGGCTTACCCACTCTCCCTCCCTGCATAGGCCAGTCATGTGCACTATGCTGAGATGTACTTGCAGACATCCAAGGCCAATGTGATTACAAACAAAGGGATGCTGTAGCAATGCTATTTATTACAGACTGTCCAAACTGCAGTGTTGTCCACACTGGCTTTCTAGTGTGAAAGCTCTTCTTGAACTTTTCTAAGGTTAATCAGCAAAGCAAGTGACTTTTTTTAAATTACTGCTCCTTGGTCAAGTAAATGCAAAAGCCCTTTCTCTCTATTGTTCTTCTTTGGGCCTGACATCTAAGGCACTGGAGCTGCAGGACAGGCAGAAGGAAGCTAGAGGCTCTATTTATGTGGCCTACACATGCATGGTACAGTCATGGGCTGTACCTCTTCAAGATGTACAAGGGGACAGTTGCATTTGGAATGTGCCCATTTGAAAACATCCTGCAAATTAAAAGAAAACAAGAGTGCATCAGAGTGAAAGATTCTAGCTTGTGGCATGTGTAGACCAGGGCCGAAGTTTCCTTTTATGGCTTTTATGTCAAGACACTGAAATGTTTCATACATACAGCTGTCAACTGGAACTAAGCAGCAAATGAATCTCCCCTGTTATCCTCCCACCCCACCCCTTCCCCATTAGGCTGCATATGAGAATAAGCTCAGCATTTCCAGATAGACAATGTACTGACAAGGAAACAGCTTTGACAGATTAGGTACCTTTGGGGTTTCCTGTCTTCCTGTTTCCAAGCCTATTATAATTTAGTTGTCTTAGTGACATCTGCATTTGTAGCTTCTCTCTGTTTGCCACATTTGCTATCATGTAATCTACAAGACTTAATAATATTTCCTGTCATTACAGTTTGAGTACACAATTTCTTTTGGGTTCCCATAAAACTTAATCTCTCTGGATATGTAATTGTACAGAGGAATGAAGTCTGGGTGAACCAATGGATCATTGGTGTAGTCAGCAGCAATTCCCTTGACTGTGGTGGTACTTTTTCCAGCTGTCACAGAAATTGCTGCTGGCTGTACCTGCTATCTTCAAGTTCACACATTATGTAGCTCTGCATCAGCATCTATGCAAGGTTATATGGAACTAACCACATGCAGGAAAATATTTGTGCACACAACCTCTAACTTGTTTCAGTTCAGTACTACATCATAATTTTCAGAAAAGATCTAAGTTCACAATACTACTTGTGAACATTTAAATGAAGTTTAAAAATACCTGAGGCAGTTTTATTTTTTAAATAAATACTATTAGATTCTCAGCCCAATTCAACACAGCTACCCAGTTATGGGCAAACTGTTAGAGGTGTCCCCCCTCCAAAAAACACAAGATGCTATGCAGCACAGAGGTTGCAATGAAGAGGAGGACTTGGAAGAAATTGTTTTCCATTTTCCATGAACATGATCTCTCTTAATGCAGTGTTATATTGTTCATGGAACAGGGTGGGAGGGGAATTCCTTCCAAAACTGTCTCATCATGGCAACTTGTATGCCACATGATATACTGTTCTGGAAGGTTCCCCAGTCCTTAGCAGTAGCATTTGAGAGTGCAGACCAACGCTCCCTCTAAGCTGTGGAGTCTTGTGAGCAAAAATTCTACTTTGTGAGCTACTGGCATTAAAGTTGCGAGCAAGCACTTTGGCTACTGCATAAATTAGTTTGCTCTGGAGCCATCCTTCCTGAGCCAAGACAAAAATGCATGAGTGGAGGCTAAAAAACTGTGAGCTAGCTCACACTAACTCAGCTTAGAGGGAACACTGGTGCAGACTGCTGTTGGGAAAGGGAAAATCTGATGGAAATCACTTCTGTCAAGTTGTGATACTGATGTCCAACTTGCTATCTTTCAGGGTCTTTTTAGAGCCTAAACTAATTGATCTAAATCAGGGAATGGTCTGAATAAATTTGATATAGCTCAATATTTAGAAGTAAGCATGAGTCTAGTAGCACCTTAAGGACTAACAACATTTGTGGCAGGGTATGAGCTTTTGTGAGTCACTGCTCACTTCTTTAGATACCCTGTTCATACCCTGGCACAAATTTTGTTAGTCTTTAAGATGCTGTTGGACTCTTGCTCTTTTCTACTGCTACAGACAGACTAACATGGTGGCTACCTATCAGACATCTATATCCATGGAAATAAGCATGTCTGGGACTTATTTGTTCGCTGCCTTCCTTCCCAAAGGGGTTCTAAAGCAGCTGACATCATTCTCCTCTCCTACATTTTACCCAGCACCTCAGCGAGAGTTTGTCAGGGAATCTAATGTATGCTGTTATGAGCTCTTGCCAGAGAGGATGGTATAATAAGGAAATCCGTGTTGCATTGGCTTGATGAGCCATTACAACCGGAGCTGGGAAAGCACCTCAGAGCTGTGCATCAGTTTTGGTTTCTCAGCCTCAATGTCCATAAAAGTTGTTCTACTGTTTACCAAACAATACTGCCCTCTTATCTTGCAGCAGTGGACTTGCTTGACAAGATGTTGCAGCTGGATGTGGAAAGGCGTCCCACAGCCACGCAAGCTCTGGCCCACCCATATTTTGACCGGTTCAGAGATATTGAGGAAGAGACAGAAGCACAACACTCCTATGATGATTCTCTGGAGGGTGAAAAGCTTACAATAAATGAATGGAAAAGTAAGTTTGACCGGATAGCTTTGCATAAAGACTGCCAGAATCAGACTCTCCTTTGCTGCAGATAAAGCACACAGCTAAGAGTGAAGGAGTTGCCCCAGGGAAAGGCAGGTACTTTTCTAATGAATGCAGAAAGCCAGACTTGAGAATTCACAACCTGCATTGGGCTCATTCCTATAATTACCAGCAGCATGGGCCAGGAGTTTCAATGAATGAGCTTGCTAAAATTTGTTACACAAGACGTCTCCACTGACTTGTTTGTGACAAGCACAAACCTGGCTTCATCCTGCCTTGTAGTACAGAATCAACCCCCATTTTGCCCAGGTATTTACATTCAGACATCATGGCAAACTGGAATTTAATTCCAAAAACAGGAAAACTTCAACCGTGCTCTGCATTGGGGGGGGGGGGGAGAGTGAAAGTCAGCACAGCAGCTAGCCAGGGCTGGACCTTTCATGAACAAACAGACGTTTGCCACAATGTTTGACTGCAGCCTTAGTCTTTAAGGTGCCACAAGAATCCTTTTTTGTTTTTACTGCAACAGACTAAAATGGCTATCTCTGGAATGTACCATATTGCTTTGTTTTGATTTCCACTATCATTGGCTCCCATGTTTCACAACACACCTTTTGCTCTTTCCACTTATCTTGGAAATCTATTTTTGTTTATTGCCTTCCCCAAAGCACACACACACACACACACACACACCCGGCATCAACCACTACATCTTTGGCACCAATTGCATTTTCTTTCCTTGTTTCAGACTTCTTAGAAAACTGGTATGAGATTATAGTCTAAATTAGTTTGTATGCCAAATAAGCCCAATGCCTTCATTTGTACAAATTTTGCAAATGCCCTTGTCTAAATTCTGCTTAATTACTTTGGAAGTACTTGAGAATCAGACTTAAATGAATGTCTCCCCCCACCCCCCCAGCTTTTATAGAAACAGAATTCTTAGATGCATAATTCTATAGTTTCAGGGTTTTTGAAAGGGTATGAACCATAAAAGGGTTGACATCCATCTGACCTTTTGTTATATTCACTTTCTCTTTGGAATCCTTCAATGTCATGTTATAACATCACACACTAATTAAAAGCTAAAGCCTCATGTCATTTGTTTCTCTTTCAAGGGCATACTTTCAGTGAAATACTTTCATTCAGCCCAATTGTAAGGAAAGACTCCAAAAGAAGAAGTGGTATGACGTTGTAGGCTTGGGCATGTCCAGTGTGAGACACCCTTTGCATGAATGAATGTTAATCGGTGTCTTGAACCCAGCAAGCAACAGATATTCACTAACATGAAAAGGTCTACAATGTGGGGAACGCAAGGACACTGAGCACATAGAGTTCAACCTTCACGTGAAAGCCAGAACTGTACCAGGAACATCTTTCAATGCCAGTAATGAATATGCTTCTCATTAAAGCCCTTTGTGATAGAACTGCGGCCTCCTGGCTACTTCCTTCTGTATATATCTCGTAGCTGATTCTCTACCTGTTTAAAAAAGCTCTGATGCAGCTTCCAGTCTTCTCCAGCCTTCTTGGGACCAAAAAACAGGAAGATTATGATTCTTGCAGGTTAAAAGGCATAATGCATGAAATATTTGTAGGAATAAAATAAAATGTAATAAGAAAGCAACAATTTTACTTACAGAGTCCCAAAGAACAGGGGCAAAATCTTGCAGACTTTAAAGTGTCTTTGATTTTGGATCACTCAGTATTCATGCATCTGGCCACTCTTAAAAACAGAATATGTTTTTAAAGTGCAGATATGCAAGTGGTTTATTTATTCAGAAGTATTCTAGAAGTGCCCCAAAAGAAAATACTTTGCAAGTGTGAACTATGGTATGGCTATTCTAGATTGTATGTGGGCATAGTTTATGGCTTTATAAGACAGGCCAAAAAGTGGATCTGATCATATACAATGGCACTTGTTGCTAGTTCAATATTGAAAATTCTTTCATCGCCCCAGGGTGGGGGAGAGGGAATGTTGTGCTAGCAAAGTAACTCAGCACAGTAGAACTTTACCATGAAAGGCTTTTATCAATCATATGCAGAGAGGAAAAGGACACAGAAGGTAAAGATAGGGGAGTGGCAAAATCCCACTCAGTTCTATGTGCATCAGCAGGACTTGGGGGATCCATTTCACACTCATGCGACAGCCTCATAAATATGAGAACCAAGCATCAATCAGGCCTTAGCATGCAGACTAGAAACAGGATGACAACTAGCTCCCACATGTGCAGAGGCTGACAGAAAACCAGCATTTTATAGGCAACTGTTGGATTAGTATGGCAATCATCCACAGTAAATGGGGGGGGGAGTATCTCATTTTCTCCACAATGGGGATCAAAAGCAGCTGACATCTTTTGCTTCACCTCCATTTTATCATCACAACAACCCTGTGAGGTACATTAGGCTGAGAATGTGTGACTGGCCTGAGGTCAATCAGTGAACTCCACGGCAGAATAGGAATCTGAACTTGCATCTCCGGATCCTAGTCTGCAGGTCTACCCACTACACCACACTGGCTTTCATAGGGTGGCTGCAGTTGAACAGTAGCAAGTGGCCAGGCCTTGGTGAGTCATGTAAGTCGCATGGTAGCAAGTTGCCTGGTGGCTGCTGCTGGGCCCGTCCCTGATAAGTCCTCCCTCAAAGGACAAAAGGGCCTTGTTACCTACCTTCTGGTGACAGAAACCTAGGCTTGAAGTCTGGCAATACTGCTGTAGTTGTCTAAGCAATGGCCACTGAGAGCATTTGTTTCTTAAAAGCTACAGGTGCTGTTTCTATCATTTTGGAGGGTTTTAATCCCCCAATTTTTATTTTTAGATTTCAGATTTTGCACACTTGAGACTTTTATCAGGTTTGTAAAAACTCTCTCTTGTCTGTCCATGGCCTCTGTCTTTGGATTTAAGTTCCACAGATGGGGCCGTGTTAAGAATTAGATATACTGATAATAAATACTTTTAAAGAAAAAATAAGCTGAATGATTATGGATGACAGATACTTGTAAAGGAAAAAAGAATGATTACAGCCATTAAAATGTCCATTAGCAACTTTGTTCAGCTGTTATATATTTGGAACATGTTCTAACCTTGGGATTGTGAAGGAAAAAAATCAAAATAAATGCAAACAGAGGCAGTGGAGAACTGAACAGATGACATAACTCCCTTTAACTTGTTTCTTCTGATGAAAACAGAGGGTAAGGCTTGTAGCATCATGAATTCTAATGAGTCATAAACAAACCAAAAGAAGGTTTCAAAGTCCAAAGTCATGTCAGAGCAATTTGCATAGTATCCAAATTACATACACTGCTTATGCAAACTGTGTGTCCTAAGTTAACATACCTAATTTTCATAACTTCTTAGCACTTCATCCCTTTCTTTGACATTACAAGCAGCAAAGAAACAGGAAAGGAAAGTCTTGCTTCACAAGATCTGGTTGCTGCCAAAAGCAAGAGGCTTCTCACGGCATTTGAAGTGGTTGTTGTCCAAAAAGTAGCTGGCCAGCCTGTGGCACAGCTCAGAAGGAATACCCAAGCCAAAGGAAGATGCATTTAGCCCAGAAAATCTACAACAACCAATGGAAGATGCATTTAGAAAGCCTTGCCTGTAGATAGAAAGTGGACAAAACATGCCAGAGCAGACTAGAATTCTCCTGTCCCTGGTTTTGAGCATGGTAGTCCTAAACCTTCATGGGTTGGCAACATTTTGGGCTTCATTAGTTGCCACAGATGCTTCATGAACAGATTACAACATTTCAGGTAAGAAAATTGTAGGAATCCCAGCCACCATGCATCAGGATATAATTCAGCTGAAGTACCTTCCCATAGCCTCAGACAAGAGATGGTCACAGAGTTGGGTACTACTCTAATCCACCTTCTTCCCCCTACTTCTACTCCCTTCTGTGCTGGGAACCAAAGCTTGTCCATCCTCCTTGGCCTCCTCCGTGAAGCCTTTTGAAGGCCCTAGCCAGATCCCAGTGGTCTTGCTCTAGCCAGAAGCCTTACAGGGGTGTGGCCCAGCCTATGAAGAACCAATAGCTTCTCCTGAGCCATTTCTTGTTACTCCCTTTCAGCACACTCAGGTAAAGCTTCTGAATAGTTGATTGTCAGACAGCTGGCTGTCAAAGGCCCAGCTGTCAGTGACTCCCAAGTTCTTAAAGGACAAGCTGCCTTTGATCAGTTGGCTTGTATGCAGCTCTTTAAGGTGCATCAATCACCGCACTGAGCCTGGTGGATGCCAGGCTTCACATTGTGGGGAGCTGTGATGGAGGGAGCATGGTGCTGTCTCCCCCTCCCCCCCAAAAAACCAATGCAGCAGTAGAGAAAGTCCATTTGTGGTTGTACTGTAGCAAGGCAGAGCTGAGCAAACCCTTTGGAATAAAAGAAAGCTGTGTCCTTTTGATTAACATATAAGTTTGGTCTCCGATAGGTCCATGAATTTTACACCTTTAAATATATGGACTTCTATAAACCGCATGTGTAACCCTGAGTACACTAGAGGGAGTTAAAGGGTTGGTGTAATGTATTGGCACAGTTACATGAATCACCTCATTAGACACCCATGTTAAGCTTCGAGCCAAGCCAGGGCTCCTCTGACCGAACTTCCTATTGGTCGCTTTGTAACAGCGACCAATCAGAACTGAACTGTTCCCCTGCGAGGGAAAGCTTCTCATTGGTCTTTAACCAAGCAATCTTATTGGTTGTTATTTGTAAATAGGCGTGGCTACATTAGCCCGGTTATGTTTAAAAGGAGCATAAGCTCCCACTGTTTTCTGTTCTGGTTTCTTACTGAGTTGAGTGCTTGTTCGTTACTTCCAATAAAGCTGAATCACTTGCTGAATCACTCTAAGAGTCCTTTGTTAGCGCGATCTAACAATTGGCGACGAGGATGGGATGTTAGAGCAGGTAGGCAGCCCTGCGGACATCCACACTTCGGACTCGGAAGAAAGCGAGCAGAGCACAGCAGCCGATCCGGCGGAGGCGCCACCAGCTCCGGTGCCCAAGTCTCCCACGATGGCTGGAAGCCAGAAGTTCGAGTGCTTCGAACCCTCCTCAGAAGACTGGGACTCCTACCTGTCCAGGTTCGAGTTCCATCTGGAGACCCACGACATCACCGATGAGGCGAAGAAACGAGCATGCCTCCTGAGTTCCTGCGGGAAGGGGACCTTCGACATAGCCAGGTCGTTGGTGGCCCCAACTGATATAAAGACTGTCACCTACGCTGACATCACGGAGAAGCTTAAGGCTCACTATTCTCCACAACCGTCGGAGATCGCCTGCCGGCACGCTTTTTACAAGCGGAACCAGGCCGGAGGCGAGACCATCGCAGATTTCGTGGCGGCCCTTCGCAAAGCCGCACGGCCATGTAATTTCCACAACGTGGAGGAAGCCCTCAGAGACCGTCTCGTCTGCGGTCTCAAAGATGAAAGGCTGCAACAGAGGCTGTTCGCCCGCACCACCCTGACCTGGGCAGTGGCCTACGAAGAGGCCGTGGCCGCGGAAGCAGCGGAGAAGTCCACGAAGGAGGTCCGCCAGCGGGTGGCAGAGCCCAGTATACACGCTCAACGAGACAGCGAGGGCGAAGACGCGGATGATGACGTCAACGCGGTTCGAGGCAAGCGGACCCCAGCGAAGACTACCAACGTCAAGCCTTGCTCCGGTTGTGGCGGGAAGCACCAGCGCGGCTCCTGTTGGGCTCGTGATGTCGACTGCAGAGCGTGTGGGCGGCGTGGTCATCTGGCCAGAGTCTGCAGATCAGCGAAGAAGGATCCCTCAACTAACAACCGGTCAGCGCAGAGGGGCACTCCAGTCAGCACCCAAGGCAAGACCCGTTCCTCAGCATCGGAAGCAAGCTGCCAGTTGACGGCGACCTTGTCGAGCGCATCGGCCGTAAATCGCACCAGCAGCCAGGGCAAGATCACCGTGACTCCACTCCTCGACGGCCGACCCTGTACAATGGAGGTGGACTCAGGATCGTCCGTGACGGTGATTTCTGCCGCGTCCTGGCGCCAGTTGTTCCCGAACCGAAGCCGGCGGCGGCTCCAGCCTGCGGGAACCAGAGTGTCCGACTTCCAGGGCAACCGAATTCCCTTGGCCGGACGGGACTCTGTTACTGTTGAGTATAAGGGGAAATGTGTTAAACTGTCATTCCTGATTGCAGAGGGAGACCGGGTTAACCTGCTAGGGTTAGATTGGTTTGAGCCATTGGGCATCGGTATTTCTGGGATTAACAGGATGTCTGAAAATAAATGGGGCATGCTGTACGACCTGTTCCCTGATGTATTTGCCGAAGGGTTGGGAAGGTACAAGGGCCCCCCGGTTGCGTTTGACTTAGATCCGTCAGTCAAACCTATTAGGTTGAAGTATCGGAAAGTACCTGTGTCTCTCAAACATAAGGTGGAAAAAGAGATTGACAAACTAGTTGAGCAAGGGGTTTTAGAGCCAGTACCATACAGCAAATGGGAGACCCCGATCGTAACCCCTGTCAAATCAGATGGGTCCATACGACTATGCGCCGATTACAAAT